GGCAAAGGGGGAAGCAGCGTTGGCCACGGCGTCGGGGGCAGCGGCGGCGGTGTTGGGGCCAGTACTAGTGACGTCATAGGCAGCGGCGGTGGCGTTGGGGCCAGCAGCGGCGATATGGGGAGCAGCGTCGATTGGAGGAGGAGAAAGATGTGGTGGAAGAGGAGGACGAGGAAGAAGAAGAGGAGGAGGAGGACGACGAGGAGGACAAGGAAGAAGAAGATGAGGAGGAGGAGAAGAGGGGATTTATGGCGGGTCCTAAAAAAAAGAAACCAGCAAGTGCAACGTGGCACATTCTCAGAGGAGGAAGCGGCGGAGGAGGAGGCGGCGGAGGAGGAGGAGGAGGACAGGGAGAACGGCGAAGAAGAAGAGGAGGACGAGGAGGGGGAGAGGAGCAGGACGACAAAGAAGAAGATGAGGAGGCAGACGAAGTCGTGGCGGGCAAAAAAAAAAAAGGGTTGAGTGTGTGTGTGTGTTCGCGTGAGTGTGGGTGTGGGTGTGGGTGTGGGTGTGTGTGCACTGCGCGCTAGTGCGCACGAACACACACACAGGAGCTTGCTCTTCTACACACACAAGCACACACACGCACACACGCACACACACACACACACATACACGCGCACACACACACACACACACAGACACAGACACACACACACACACAGACACACACACACAGACACACACACACACACACACACACAGACATACACACACACACACACAGACTCGGTGAAAGTCCACCGAAACAGTCTAATACAGTCATGCTTTTTTTCAAGTGTACAGCAAATATGACAACACACACAGATGTGGGTAAGTTTTTTTTCTTGTTTTCTTTCTTTTTCGTTGTTTATTTTCCGTTTCTTTATAGCCGCAAACCCGTTCAAGTTGAGAACGCGCGTTCATTGAATTTCTGAACGCAAAACCCAGTTTCATAGTTTACGACCTCGCCCGCATTGATTGCCCCAGATGACTTGATGATTAACTGTGCGGGACAACGAGTTTGACAGTTCCTACACGCTACTGTGCAGGGCCGCAGGCCAAATGGGGTAGACTAAGTACTGTTTCTGTACTCTAGAAGGGGGGGGGGAAGGGTACGACTGTACGAGTGGCGCTCTCTGGGGGCGCTCCAGAGCCGCTCTCCTCCTCCCTCCTTTCCCCTTGCCCTACCCTTCCTCTTGCAAGACTTCCACCAAAGCCAGTGGATGGGGCATAATAAATCTGGGAAGTCCGAAGCTGGTCCCAGTGGGAGGCCCTTCTACCATTCGGGGTTGTGCGGCTGATAGACCCTTAGTGTAACATATCAGAAAGTGAAATGCACTGAAAGCCTAGGATCTAGCAATGACGAAAGTGGCAACAACCAGCAGCATAGGTGCAACATTCACAAGGTGTCAATGTGCGCGACGCAAAGAGTGAAACAACGGGAAATCAATAATAACACATTCGTATCATCATCATCATAGGCTGGGAAGCAGCGCAGCGGTGGATTTAGTATCAAAGGACACGTGGACAACAACATGAAAAGGAGAAAACTTCGGAAGGGCAAGACATCAGAAAGATTGCCCTTCCACTCACACACATGGGGAGAGATCCATAGACATGCGAGAGAGAAGGGGGAGGGACGGAGGTAACCAAGTCCAACCCAAGTCTGATCTCCGAATGTCGCACACAGTTCAATCCCAATGTAGAGTGCAAGTCCGACCTGAATGTCGTGTCCAATACGGCAGAATGTCGTGTCCAAACAATGTCTGCAGTTACCTCTATCTCTACTCTGATAAAGAAGAAGAAGAAGAAGAAGAAGAAGAAGAAGAAGAAGAACTTCGGAGGAGTAGGAGGAGAAGAGGAGAGGAGAAGAAGAAGAGGAAGAAGAAGAAGAAGAAGAA